AACAATCCTTCCAGGAGTTCAAGAGGTCCCTTCAAAAACTTAAGTCAAGTTTTACTCACACCAAGTTTATTTTTCTTGCACGTTTTTGTTTCTTTTTCTGTCATTTCCGATGCCCATGTCATGTACACTACAAGTTTTTATTCCTCAATGTCAGGTCCCAACTGCAGAATACAAGTGGTCAACTTAAACGAATTGACTGCAGAAAACAATGAAAAATGTGTTCTATACATTGCTTCGAGGCCAACGGCCAAAACTTGTCCGCGGCCGTATTTGCCTGCAGGCAGCCGAATATGTCTGCAGCCGAACTTGTTGCGACCACAACGATTATACACCACTCGGCTCTAGACTATAGGCTGTGTAAGGCGCTGTGTAGGGCCAAAAGATAGGCCTCTAGCTACTTCTACTAGGCTCTACAAAGTACTAGCTACTATATAGATAGGCCCTGCACCTGCCTAGGCTAGGCCCTCCTCTACGTACAACTAGCTAGAGCTTACTTGAGTCCTTCTCGCCCACCTAGACTACGTGTAGGCCCCTGCCCTAGCCAGGCCCTACGCTTGGCCTAGGCTCCCCCCACCTCCACCCCGGCTAGGTAAGGTAGGGCCCTAGGCCTAGAGCCAGTCAACAAGTAAGGTAGAGTCTGAGCAGGAGCCAAGACCTAGCTCCCTAACCAATGTTATCATTTCAATCTCCAGAATGCATTAATAATTATTAGGCCTAGGCCTATGCGTAGTAGATATGCTGTGCAGTTTACCATACTGTGACGGAGTGAGTGTATAATAAGGAAAGAGAAGATGACGATAAATATCGTTTTCTTTGGTCGATCATTTGTTTACCGGCAATGGTCAAAATGTGCTTATGTGCCTAAAGCCTTGCAATCAAGATGAGTATATTCGTATGAATAACGTCGTGTGTTAAATTAAACTACATCATTCTGATCTTAAGCATTTAGAAAACTATGGTGGCGCTATTAATCAAAGCTGAAAAGTCGTCCACATGCTATTTTTGAATGAGCGGCTACACTTGTACGAACAACAAATAAAACGCATGTCGGTCCTCCCTCATTTTCATTCTCTAATGAATAGAAGACCACTTTCAGGACTGGTGCTTCCATGGTCTTTACCAGCTTTGGTCTCTAATTAGAATAATAAAGATGAAACACATATTTGTTAATTTGGAACCACAGAAAAGTGTTTTTTAATTGGAAGTGGTCTTTAATACTGGGGTCTTTAAGAGCTGATTTGAGAGAAACAATGTTAGCTTAATTGACCTAAGAACGAGTTACAATGGAACTAAGCTAATTTGTAACTATAATAATCAAATAGATTCTATGTTTTTCACATTCTTCCACAACCTAAAACAAAACAAAATTTTCAAAGCACCATTACGATTGATAATTGAAAAGACTTGATACAGCAGGGTCAACAAGAAGAATATTTTTTAAAGAAATTCTAGTTTAATGCTGTGTTTATGGCTCCAAAGTCTTAAATAAAAATAATTAATTAAATAGTATTTTGAGATGTATTTGTTGATAAAATAAAACAAAGTTGATATTCCCTTAATAAGGGTCCGGTGTTTTAAAAGGGAAACCATTGCCAACATAAGCAAAAACTTTAAGGTCATCATTTAAAATATTGTTCTATATTCGGAATATCATCAGGAAGGAACTTTTTACCTGAAAACCTAAAAAATAAAAAAAAACTCATGTTGATTAGCAACTTCATTATGAAACCACTGTTGTGCATTTAATAATCATAAAAGCCTCAAACGAAAGTAGCTCCCGAATGTTCTTCTCATCAAACTGTTACAGTTACCGGTATCAAAGTTTGTTTGGCTTCTTTTGATAAAATAGGCCTATAATAATTAATTAAATAGTATTTTGAGATGTATTTGTTGATAAAATAAAACAAAATTGATATTCCCTTAATAAGGGTCCGGTGTTTTAAAAGGGAAACCATTGCCAACATAAGCAAAAAC